AGGGGAGGGGAGGGGAGGGGAGGGGAGGTTTATTACATCTATCAAGGGAAGGACTAATTTTACGTACCTTCTGTCATGGTTTAATCCTGGATGACAACTCAGCCCCCCACACATGATCCCTGGTGGGATGGTGGAGATGATCCAACCGTAAAAGTAAAAAAAAAAAAAAAAAACCTTATTGTTTGAGATAAAGTTTTTAATAAGGGAAGCAAAAGCTGTGGTTTCAAGCAAAGCAAACCAAGGATTCATTCCCCACTTCCCACGGGCAGGTTCAGCCATCCGCAGGACAGCCTGGCTCCATCACGGTAATGGTGGCTTGAGAGGACAAATGCCACCACTCCAAACACGCCCTTCTTTCTTCCCCAGCCTTCCCTGTGAGCACAATGCCATCTTGTGGCGCACCAGCAGCCATATGTCCCACTGTCCCCTGGCTGGCCGGTGGTCCTGGCACCAATGCAGGACCCATCCCCATCCCTGCAGAGGGGCAACATGGAGCAGAGGCCCATGGCTGTCTGCAGTCCCACCACAGCTCTGAGGGTCACATGGAAGAGAATCCTGGAGGACTATGAATCTCTCTGGAGAGGGGCCAAAGCCATGAAGCACTGACCTGCATGCCATCACACTCAGGAGCAAGGTGACAGAAGGAAGAGGGGASGAGGCTTCCTGCAGAGGTGTCTCACTGCATCCCCTGAAATTTGTCCTACATTTGCCCTGAGCCACCGCGTCTACAGGTTCCTTCTTCACACATTCCAAGTAGTCTCAGTCTTTGTGGTCTTCTTGCCTACAGTTTGCAGTCCAAGGTAGCCTCAAAGTGTCCTTGTGATATCCTGGGGTCCCCGTATGGTCTGCAACACTCCATAGGGCTGAAATTTGTCTTATGTGATCTATACAGTGCAAGTGATCTCCATATGGTCCCAAGATCGATTTGATACAGTGTCTTCATCCAGGACAGTTCAGCTGTTTCTTCAGGCCAGCCTTAGGCAGGAGACCAGGCCTTGATGGCCCTGGGCCCATAGCAGTATCCTCACAAATTCCCACCCCATCCTTGTAGCCATATCCCCATGTATTCCCATTCCCATTCCCATCCATRGATGCACATTCCCATGTCCCTGCCCCATAGACAATTCTCCCCTCCCCGCCCCCTTTCATGTCTCCTTGCTCCTTCCCCGCCTCAACTTTTGATATTAAAAAAGAGTATTTCCCTGCCTGTGTGCGCAACGGGGAATCGAAACTGTTGGGCCGGGAGGCGGGACCAGGGCCGCGGAGCAGGGGACGGACCGGAGCGCCGAGCACCGGCACCGCACGTCGACACCGGGAAGCGACAGCTCCGGGCAGC